CGAATTGAAATTCAGAAAATAGCGTCAAACAATTCCTTTTTTGTAATTGTTTGACGCTGACGTAAGCGCAAATAAATCAGCTTAATGCACGCCATACTGGATTGCAAAATAATTTGACTATTGTTATTGCTCAGCGTAATGCTAGTGATAATCGGATAGTTTTATTACAGAATGATATTAATGCATTTAGACAACTAAATACCAACCAACTTTATTGCCTTTGCCATGGATTTTTAATTGGGAATCGAATCAACCAGCTTACTCAAGAACTTGATGACTATCGACTAGGATATATTTTGCGAGGACGTTTGTGGCGTAATCTAAGCTTGGTATGGGATGAACAGTCCAAATCCAAACGTGCTCTTGAAATCATTTATAAGGTATCTCTTCCCCGATTAGAGCAATTACAAACATGTCGGACGCATGGGAGAGAACTAAAACTTAGACTGAATACGTGTCAGAATGATTTATTTCTCTGTGATTTACAGTTGGACAATAAGTGGAACAAATCTGAGCAAATAATAAATAATTTAAATCAGCAAATTTTAGCAGTACATAATAACCTCCTCAAATGCAACATACAGGCATGGCAGGATGCGTTCCTCCAAAATTTCGCGGTCTAGTGGTGAAGATCCAGCGGTGTTTATAAGAGATTTACGACAACTTCTCCCAATCACAATCCAAATGCAGGGCATCAAAACCGAATTCGCATTAATGGACTGTTTGATTGAGGCTTGTTTAGAAGACTATGCTAAGGATGGTATGAAAATGAGATTAAAGGTAAAAATTGGGAATTGCAGAATATTAGCGATAATACGGGTCTTGCAGATCTTGCGCTATCAATGGATTGGCTAACAATATAATGCATTGCGTGGTATTGATGCCAATCAGTTTAGAGTCATATAAGAAATACTGTAATGCGATTGCCAATCCATTAGTACCCGCTCTCACTGTATGGGACGAAGATTGGTCTATATTAGGTGGGCGACCAACTGACTTGCTCCAAATACCAATGCAGGAGGTAACACCATAGCTACTGAAATTCGTATTGGTCAGAAAATATATCTTTTTGCATGATTTTCCCACAGTTACAGCTGAAAAACTAAAGTCACGTTTCAGTCTCTCTTTGGGTACTGATACTATAGGCCAAGTTAAGAAGAATGGTTAAACTCTGCTTCCAACAGTAAATCAAGACGAATTAGTAAGACGGCAATTTTTCCTACGCCTGATCAAATGAATCGGTTTAGAAACGCCTATTTCTGGTTTAATAAAGAAATTAGAAGAGATTGAGAGACATATCTGTCGTTTCTTGGGTTATCAATAACTTTGTGCGACCTTTCAGATATTCCTCAATAAGTTTATCGAATTTTTCTTTTATAATAAAGGTAAAATTGGTTGAATCCATTGGTATTCAGATTTAGTCGTCTGTTTATTGAGTAGAGGATTAATTCGAGCACTGATATAAATATGACTGTCTATATATGTGTTAGACATAAATTCACTTGTTTACAGCAATAATAGTATATTGTAAATTTAATCATGCAAGCCAAAAATATGACGCGCGCTATGGCGTGACAATCATATCGAATCGATTACTGGTGCAATTCAACTGTGACAATTATATCAAGATTAACACTAACACGGAATATACACAGCAGATATGACCTGATCGATCCCATCAAGCGAATAGTGAGCATAATTGACAGTACATCAACGATGACCTGATTATATCGATCAGTAATTTAATCAATGAATAAAATAGATTAATATTCCTTTCAAGAAATAGTTAGAAGTATGATGAACTTGAAGGTTGCTGAGCAATAAAACAGCAAATCAAACGATTGTCATCTTAGGTTTCAATACATAAGGTTGGTTCACAACTTTTTTAATAAAAAAAGTATAGCGTTATATAATAATAGATAACACATGATGTTTATTTTTATTGTTATTAACAGCCGTTTCTGATAGCAATAAACAGCATTTGTACAACCTCTCCTGCATAAATTACGAATAGATATCACCATGTGCTGGTTCTGAATTGGGTTGACCCAGTTCAGAACTGGGTCAAGTTCCATTTTGGATCAGAACATATATATTTATTGACTTGCTTTTAGTACATACATATCTGGTATTACCATCTTAATTATCTTTTATGAAGCACTTAACAGACTTCCCTTATACTCAATGCAAATGCATCATTTGGTTCAATCCTCAATGATTTAGTAAGATCAACTAATGCATTGTCATAAAACAGCTTTAGCATATCCATGTAGCTGTGCCAAATGAAGGATACACTACACTAATGCATTGTCATAAAGCAGCTTTAGAGGTCCACCTTAGTTGCATCTAATAAAGGACACAAAACCAATGCATTGTCATATTGATCAAGACTGCAATAGACATCTCCCCTTATTTTCAATGCAAATGAATCACCTGGTTCAATCTCCAATGATTTATTTAGATCAACTAATGCATTATCATATTGTTTAATTATGTGATAGACATTTCCCCTTACTTTCAATGCAAATGCATTCTTTGGTTCAATCTCCAATGATGTATTTAGATCAACTAATGCATTGTCATATTGATCAAGACTGCAATAGACATTTCCCCTTGCTCTCAATGCAAATGTATCACTTGGTTTAATCTCCAATGATGTATTTAGATCAACTAATGCATTGTTATATTGTTTAATCATCTAATAGACATCTCCCCTTATTTTCAATGCAAATGCATCACCTGGTTCAATCTCCAATGATTTATTTAGATCAATTAATGCATTATCATATTGTTTAATTATGCAATAGACATTTCCCCTTACTTTCAATGCAAATGCATTCTTTGGTTCAATCTCCAATGATGTATTTAGATCAACTAATG